GGGTAGCTAACAGGGGACCCAGCACTGCCGGGCGCCTCCCAGGGAGGCTGAGGATTCGTCACCTTCGTCATCGTCATAATCATCATCATCATCATCTCTCTCTTCATCATCATCGTCATAGCAGGTTTTGTCTACCGAGGTCTTACCATTGGTCATATAAATGTGTCATATGTGTTTTCTCATGGACCCCAAAGGGCTGGCTCTCTGTATGAGCCCCTACTTTATAAGGGTGGAAACTGAGAATGCTGACAGACTTGGCCTTGAACAATTAGAAAGGACAACTAGTTTTGAACCCAAAAACCTCTAACGCTGAAGCCCAGGTTCTTAACCATTATAGTCAATCATGCAGTAAAGTCACCTTGGTAGTTTGGTGAAAAGGTAGATTTTTAGACTCTACCCACCAGGAGACTGATGCGGTGCCCGAGGACAGGGCGAGGGAGCAATGCGTCAGGCCCCACGGTGATCCCGAGGGTGCCCGGGCCAGCGCTGGGCCCATCATGTTCACGCCGGCCCCTCTGCGCCCAGGTCTGGAGGCCCGCAGATCCAGCTCCTTCCAGGAGGACACTGAGTACCCTAGGCCATGAGGCCAGGCCACCTTCTCAGATCACAAAACACAAAAGGAGAGGCCCAGGCGGAGCGAAGAGCCAAGTCCTGGGCCGTGGGAACTCCTCGCCGCTCTGGGCAGGCTGTGTGAGCGTTAAGCAACCACAGCTGCTGCCGCTCCTGGCGTTCCAGACGGCCGGGTGATAGGAGGCCTGACACCAGGCTGAGTCTCACAAGGTGCCCCTTCATTTCCTGACATCCTTTATGGATCCTGTGGGAGCGAAAGGTGGGAAGGCCGGTCCCTGCCCTGAGAGAGATCACAGTCTGGAGGGCTGAGATGACAAAGGGGCCATTAACCTCCTGTGGTGCCCTCAGGGCACTCCCTGAACATGGGGCCTCAGCTGCTGGGAAATCGCTGCTGACTTTCCCTGAGCTCCGTGCTGGAGGGTGTGAAGCAAACAGTCATTCCTTCAGTAAGTTCCTACTGAGCACAGGCCTCCTGCGTGTTGGCTCCCTTCTAGGCCCAGGTCAGAAAATGGCAAAATGTCTGCTTTTATGGACATTATTCTAGGCACAGACAATACACAAACAAATGCAAGTGTAACATAAAGTCGGCAGTGGTTAGTGTTAGAGGAACAAACAGAATGATCAGGAAATGAGCGTGTGAAGCTAGTCATGGTGGAGAGCGATCTTAGGAGGACAGCGCCTTCGCCAAGCCCCACCCCAGCCCCCCCACCTGTGGGACCCACCTCCACGGGGAAGCTCCTCTGGCTCCCACCTGCTTCCTGCTGGTCTCGTGGGAAGAGCCCCTCCAGTTCCCCTTCCATCCAGCATCGACAATGGCCCTGGTCCCACCCTGCCCTCTAATGGCAGCTCAAAGTACCTCTTCACCAGCAGCTGCCGCTCAGAAGGGCAGTTCTCAGGCTCTGGCCACGGAGTCAGCCTTTCAGACTCACCGCCAGCCGCCAGCAGCACACACTGTTGGTGCAGGTGGGGCTGCTAGGCCTCGGGTACACAAGCATGACCAGGGGTGTTTGCCCTTAAATGCACACTCCCAGGCCCCATGATTCTTAGTTAGTAAAATGGGGAACATTCCAAGAATCTGCATGTTCTTACCCACGAGCCGGATAGATGATTAATGCAGGTGGCCACTGACCACGCCGAGCCGGACACGCCTGGTAGAAGATGCTGGTCAGCAGCAGCCTCTGCACAGAATGCCTCCCCCCCTCGGAGAGGCCTGCTGTGAGCGCCGTTAGGGAGGAGGCATTCTGACCGTCGGCCAGCGCTGGATGCACACTCCTGATTGGATTAGACAGTGGGTGATGGTGACCTCTTAAGGGTACCCCCACTTTTCTTCCACCAGCCTGGTGGTTGGGATGCTGCTCTCCACCTGCTCAGCCTCGGTGAGTGCGATGGCTGCTCTGAGGGTTGCGTGGACAGGGGCTCCCCCCATCACCAGCCCCGTCCCTGCCCCTCACACGTGTCCTTTCCTGTGACGATGGAGGGAGAGACGGTTTGAGGAATGATCATCGTGCTTGCCTCCCTGGGTGGGAGGGATGCCAGCGCCTCTGATATTCTCCCAGTCCCGTCCACGGTGACACTGCAGGGAGGAGAGGTGCCGGGTGCAGGGAAACGGCGCCTCTTGAGCATCTGTGTGTACCCAACACTGCACGGTGCCTTGGCACAGAGCACAGCGGCTCTGGTGAACAGCCTTGCAGGGGATAAACCTATTTCCCAGGTAAGGAGACTGAGGCTCAGGAGGGAAGGAGCTTGGCCCAAGGAAATGAATAGCCAGGACTCTGGGCAGAGCTGGAATTGCTTCGTTCGTCCTACACAGAGCCCATGCTCTTGCGTCTCCCACTCCTGGCCCCGCCTCACCACTTGTCATGGGCCAGCGGGGGTAGGGGGGACCCCTGACTCCCAGGGACCTGCTGGGTGGGGCTTTCTCTAGCATGGCGTCTTCTCTTTGGGATTTTGTTTTGCTTTTTCTTCCTGTCTGGGCTACCGACTATAGGAGCTCGTTTTGATTATTTAGAAAGTACCATGCGGGGACTCTGGGTGATGATTGGTGAGGTTCTGAACCAAATACCAGGTTCCCTGATGGCGGCCGATTAAGGGAGGATCACAATTTTAAAATCATCTCCAGGGTTCAGGTTACTCTCTACCATCTGCAAGTCACTGCTTGATGGTTTGGGGAGGCTT